TAAATGTGCCTACCCACCCCCCACATATATATGAAGACATTTCAGTTTTCAGCCAAGTAAATTCTGCATTTTCATTTTCAGCACCATTTTCAGTATTGTTTACATACAGACCTCTCCCCCGTCAGAGTTCCGCCGCAATCACCGGGTGCTGGCGGGGAATCTCCGCCCGGGACCCGGTGATTGACATCTGTGCCCCCCCCTTCCCGGAAGTACAAAATCACGTAGATATATGCGTGATTTTGCGCAGCCCTGCCGCCCTGTAGCAGTAGTTCTGTTACTGGGCAGTCGGGAAGTGGTTAAACACAGCACGCTCATGTGGGAGTTCTATGAATGAATGAACTACAAGTCCCTACAGCCTTAGCAGCTGTTGGCTTGTAATTCTCACTGAACTACCAAGGTGCCTTTGAGCATTCTATATGGGCAAGCAGATATATTGACAGGTCTGCAGTAGACCTGCATGGCACCAGCGACCTGCTGATTGCTGGTGCAGTGCTTTACAGGCTCCTGCAACTAAAAATAATAAAATGCACATTTTTTTTTACCTGCAAAAAAAATGTGCATTTATTATTTTTGGTCAAAAAGTGAACTTATCCTTTAACATTACCCACCTGTCTCTCCTGTGTTTTTCCTGGAAGCCCAAGGACTAATTTTCATTTACTTTGTGTGGCTGGCTGCCCTGGGAATTCCAAATCAAATTAAGCAGTAAGCCAATACAGGATGAATTACACACTGGGGACCCATTTATATTGTTTTCAGCTGTACTGAATTTGCCTATTTCCATCTATGAGTAATTTAGAAAAGAAGTCCTTTAAAGGGAGTTTTAGTTTTCCCAGTAACAGGTTTACTCGATGGATAGTAAGCAGCCTCCAATCCTTATACTTACCTTCCACTCAGTCCTCCAGGTCTTTTCATTTAGCCGCAGCTTTGGAAAAAGAAAAAAGGTACTTCTGGGCATGGTGCAGCACATTACAAAGGCAACATGCAGGCCATAAATGGGTCGAATTCCGAAAGAATTTTCTTTAGGAAATCAGAAATTTCATGCGTTTTGTAATCACACACCTACTGAGCGACATATCAGACTGGATGTCTCTCCACTTCCTTAAACTGAACCTCTCCAAAACCGAGTTTCTTGTCTTCCCCCCAGCCCGGACACCACCCCCCATTGACTTCTCTGTCACATCCAACAACGCCACCATCAAACCCGCCCCACAGGCCAGAGTACTTGGTGTCATTCTGGACTCCAACCTATCCTTCCAGCCCCAAGTCCAATCTTTAACAAACTCGTGCAGACTCCACCTCCGCAACATCGCCAAAATCCGCACGTTCCTAACCCCAGAAACCACTAAACAGCTCATCCACTCCCTCATCATATCACGACTCGACTACTGCAACTCCCTCCTCACTGGCCTGCCTCGCCGCTGGCTATCCCCGCTTCAGTCGATCCTGAATACGGCTGCCAGACTCATTCACCTTTCCAACCGCTCCGTTTACGCCACCCCCCTCTGCCAATCCCTCCACTGGCTTCCGATTGCGCAACGGATCAAATTCAAAATCCTAACACTGACGTACAAAGATGTCCACCATACTGCCCCGAACTACATCACTGACCTAATATCCAAGTACCGCCCAGCACACACACTCCGCTCCTCACAAGACCTCCTTCTCTCTAGTTCCCTGGTCTCCTCCTCCCATGCCCGCCTCCAGGACTTCTCCAGGGTGTCGCCCATCCTCTGGAACTCTCTGCCCCAACCCATCAGATTATCACCTACTCTCCTCTCCTTTAGGCGGACCCTGAAAACCCATCTCTTCAGGGAAGTCTACCCCACCCCCTGCTAATTCCCGACCTACCCCACTCTTCCTACCACTCCATCCCCCACAGCTATCTCCTCCTGTGCCACCATCCCCTCCCTCCTAGATTGTAAGCTCGAAAGAGCAGGGCCCTCAATCCCCTCATGTTTTGCATTGTATTGTTATTGTTCTGTCACATGTTCTGTCCCCCTTTGTAATGTACAGCGCTGAGCGAACCATTGGCGCTTCATAATACTGTATAATAATAATAATAATCTGATGGTGCCACCATTGAAATCTGACCAACCAAGCCTTTAGTTTCAACTCATGTTGCTACAGAAAAGAATCTTCATAGCCAAGAAATTTCTGTTCTTTCCAGGTCACAGCTCAGGCTCATTCCTTTTTCAGTTACATTTCTCGCACGATTCTCCATCAATGATTAGAAATTTGTTCATTTTTCAAGGCATTTCCAAGATGCCCGATCACTCAAATTTGATGGTCGCTTGAAAATCGCCTGTTGCTGAGGCCCACTAATGGCGCAAAATTCTAACGAAAATTCTGTCAGAGTTCGACCCATGTATGGCTGGCTTTAGTTCCAACTCAGGGCTGACCTAGACTGTACACATGAATTTTTTTTGCTTGGGGGGGGGGGGGTCTCTGGCAGCAGAACCGGGCAATGGGAGAAGACTGGAATATACTGTAGGCAGAAGCACCACAAGGTGCATACCATCCAGCAAAAATGTTACTTTTACCTAGGTAGGAAAACAAAGGGTTCACTTTGCAACATAAAGCTTAGACGGGGTGCAGGACTCTCTCTCTCTCTACACACCCCCATGTGATAACTCTGCGTGTTTGAGCAGACAGTCGCCAAACACCAGCGATGTCACGTGAGGGAACATGTTTCCCATATACTTCACAATGTGGCAGTGACGGGAAGGTGAGGATATGCAATTGGAGAAGGGAGAAGTTAAAAGGAACCAGTTTCTATTATTCTGTTTGAAATACCGTTTTATGCATTGACATACAGTGAAGGAAATAAGTATTTGATCCCCTGCTGATGTTGAATGTTTGCCCACTCACAAAGAAATGATCAGTCTACAAATCGAATGTTCGGTGTATTGTAACACTGAGAGACAGAATAGCAACAAAAAATTCAAAAGAAATGCATGTCTAACAAATGATGCACTGATCTGCATGTTCATGAGGGAAATAAGTATTTGATCCCCTTCACAAAACATGACTTAGTACTTGGTGGCAAATCCCTTGTTGGCAATCACAGAGGTCAGACGTTTCCTGTAGTTGGCCACCAGGTTTGCACACATCTCAGGAGGGATTTTGGCCCACTCCTCTTGGCAGCTCCTCTCCAAGTCATTAAGGTTTGGTGGCTGACGTTTGGCAAGTCGAACTTTCAGCTCCCTCCACAGATTTTCAATCGGATTAAGGTCTGGAGAACTTTTGAATTTTTTGTTGCTCAGTGTTACAATACACCTACCATTGGATTTTTAGACTGATCATTTCTTTGTGAGTGGGCAAACATTCAACATCAGCAGGGGATCAAATACTTATTTCCTTCACTGTACCATAGACTCAGTGGGAGGTAGTTACTAAAACTGGAGAGTGCAAAATCTGGTGCAGCTCTGCATAGAAACCAATCAGCATCCAGGTTTTCTTGTCAAAGCTATAGGGTCCTTTCACACGGGCATTCTGTTTTTTTTCATCAGTTCAGTCACGTTTTTTCAAAGAAAAAATGGATCAGTTTACATCCGTTTTTTACATCCTTTACCAATGCAAAAACAGATGCAAAAATGGACCGTATGTCCATTTACATCTGTTTTGTGTCTGTTTATATCCATTTACATTCATTTTTCGTCTGTTCTGGGTTTCTTTTATGGAAGAAAAGTAGGGTTTTCATCCCTTCAAAAAAAGATGTTAACAGATGTAGACATTTACGGATGTAAATAGATGATCATCTGTTTACATCTGCTAGTCTATAGAAATACATAGGTGTCCGTTTTTCATCCATAAACGGACAGATGAAAAACGGACATACGGAACACCCGTGTGCAAGGACCCATATTCAACAAACTGAAGTTAGAAGCTGATTGGCTACCATGCACAGCTGCACCAGATTCTGACTGCTCGGGTTTTAGTAAATCTCCCCCAGTCTGTCTGGACAGTATAGTCATCACCTGGCATCATCTACAGACAGCTTAACTCTTCAGTAAGACACAGAAGGTGAATTCAATGCAATGTTACTTCAGATAAGTTCAGGACAGGTGATGTTTTTTCCAGTTTTATGAAGTGTAAGAAGGCAAGGCCTGTCTCTGTGAAGAACTCACACTGACTGAGATAATATGGAAGACACAGGCAGAGTTTAGCCAGGATTGAACTAACTAGCACTAAACAGGAGGGGATGACAGCAACATACCAAATTACATATGTAAACAAGTTGTAGAGGCCTTAAAACCACCACTAAATGTAAGTGTACAACAAAATAACAACCAGAATAGTTCAATGCAAAACAGAAAAAATACATATACCGTATTTTTCGCTCCATAAGACGCACTTTTTTCCCCCCAAAAAAGGGGGGAAAATGTCAGTGCGCCTTATGTAGCGAATATAAAGCGGCCGGTCCGGTATTTCTGCCACCACTATGTCAGAATACCGGGCCGGCCGCTCAGCTGTTCTCTCCTGCAGGGCCTTACCTGTTCCTCGCTCCAGCGCTGTACAGTCTTCCCGCGCTGGCTTCTGTGACAGCTGGGTGCCCACTGCGCATGCGCTTCGCTTTGTGAATGGTCCGGTGTCTTCTGGGACACATGACAGGTCCCAGAAGGCGCCGGGCCATTCACAAAGCGCAGCGCTTCTCGCGCATGCGCAGTGGGCACCCAGCTGTCACAGAAGCCGGCGCAGGAAGAAGAGGGAAGGACAACTCCGCGAAAGTGGGAGCGGGTACCTATCAAATTCAGGTACCCGTTCCCACTCCCTCCCCAAAGGTCAGCAGTCTCTGGTCATCTCCTTTACTGTCTGCAGTCTCTGGTCATACCCTGCACTGTCTGCAGTCTCTGGTTATTCCCTGCACTGTCTGCAGTCTCTGGTTATTCCCTGCACTGTCTGCAGTCTCTGGTCATCTGTACTGTGTCCCTGGTATTTTCCCTGTACTGTGTCCGCAGTCTCTGGTCATCTCCTGTACTGTGTCCGCAGTCTCTGGTCATCTGTACTGTGTCCGCAGTCTCTGGTCATCTCCTGTAGTATGTCTGCAGTCTCTGGTCATCTCCTGTAGTATGTCTGCAGTCTCTGGTCATCTCCTGTAGTATGTCTGCAGTCTCTGGTCATCTCCTTCATACTGTAGTAGTCTCAGTCTGTAGTATGTTTGCAGTCTTTGGTCATCTCCTGTAGTATGTCCGCAGTCTCTGGTCATCTCCTGTACTGTGTCCGCAGTCTCTGGTCATCTCCTGTACTGTGTCCGCAGTCTCTGGTCATCTCCTGTACTGTGTCCGCAGTCTCTGGTCATCTCCTGTACTGTGTCCGCAGTCTCTGGTCATCTCCTGTACTGTGTCCGCAGTCTCTGGTCATCTCCTGTACTGTGTCCGCAGTCTCTGGTCATCTCCTGTACTGTGTCCGCAGTCTCTGGTCATCTCCTGTACTGTGTCCGCCGCAGTCTCTGGTCATCTCCTGTACTGTGTCTGCAGTCTCTGGTCATCTGTAGTATGTCCGCAGTCTCTGGTCATCTCCTGTACTATGTCCGCAGTCTCTGGTCATCTCCTGTACTATGTCCGCAGTCTCTGGTCATCTCCTGTACTATATGTCGCAGTCCGCAGTCTCTGGTCATCTCCTGTACTGTGTCCGCAGTCTTTGGTCATCTCCTGTACTATGTCTGCAGTCTCTGGTCATCTCCTGTAGTATGTCCGCAGTCTCTGGTCATCTCCTGTACTATGTCCGCAGTCTCTGGTCATCTCCTGTACTATGTCCGCAGTCTCTGGTCATCTCCTGTACTATGTCCGCAGTCTCTGGTCATCTCCTGTACTATGTCCGCAGTCTCTGGTCATCTCCTGTACTATGTCCGCAGTCTCTGGTCATCTCCTGTACTATATCTGCAGTCTCTGGTCATCTCCTGTACTATGTCTGCAGTCTCTGGTCATCTCCTGTACTATGTCCGCAGTCTCTGGTCATCTCCTGTACTGTCTGCAGTCTCTGGTCATCTCCTGTACTATATCTGCAGTCCATTGGTTCAGAATATTTTTTTTTCTTGTTTTTCGCCTCTAAAATCTAGGTGCGTCTTATGGTCAGGTGCGTCTTATGGAGCGAAAAATACGGTAAGTGGCACAGAACAGCTACACTATGCAAGGGCAAAGGATAATATTAGAGTCTGGGTCAACTGGCTTTTGCTCACCGTAGAGCTGCCTTTCTCCACATACAGGTTTATGGGAATACAAACACAGCAAGTCAAATAATGCAGCTCTAATGTCTCTGTAATGAAATCTGAATGATCTCAGAGCATCTAAAAACAGATGTCAAAGGCATGCCTCATTTGCCCATTGAAGCCTACCGACATAGGCCATAAAACCGCTCATAAGCAGCAAATATGTAAAAAAAAGTTTTTTCTTTTGGGGGGGTGCTGGGAGTACCCCATTTCATATGAACATATGCAGCCATCCCATCTCTCATGGAAACTGGTCAGTGATCTGCCTGTGCTTGGCCTGCCTGAGAATGAAAGAATGAAAATCTATTTACAGCAGCAGTCCTATGAAACCATTCAACTCCATGGCTTTTCTATTCCATTACATGTAAATTTCAAGATTAGATGAGGCGCTTCAAAGAATAATCTATGTGTCCTGCAGCACTAGATCAATAGATGACAATTCAAGCTACAATAGGTTTACAGCACCATTGAGCAATTCATCGGGAATACAAAATATATCTGAATTGCAAGCTGAGCTTCCATCAATACTCATTTCATATTTCAGTGATCGCAGTGCTGCAGGAGCAATTATGAAATTTTTATTAAATAGATAGTAGGCATGTTTGGGTAGGCCACGCATTCCTAGAGTTTCATTATTTCTGTTTTAGTCACCGGTCACACCGCAGCGATTTAAAATGGCGCAATTTGTGTGCAATTTCAGCACAATTTCAAGTGCGATTTCTGCAGACTTGTGAAGATTTTTAATGATTTTTTGCAATTTGCAGCGTGATTTCCATTATATTCTATGTATGTGAAATCGCAACAAAAATGCAGAAAAAGTAACGCGAGAACTACTTTAGAAATTGCGTTTAAGCAAATCGTTTAAAGCAAAGTTCCACTCAAAAGCGGAAGCTGCACTTATATGCCTCCTCTCCCCCTCCACTACTATATTTGGCACCTTTTGAGGGGGGGAGGGAGGAGCGGATACCTGTTTTTGACAGGTACCCGCTCCCATTTCCGGCACAGTTCGCTGCAGGGATGTGAGCTGGAAGTTCGGCCCCCTCCTCCCTCCTGCAGTCTCCTGGGAACTTTCACAGATCCCAGGAGACTGCCGGACCAATTAAGAGGCACAGCGCAACTCATGCATGCGTGGGTACGTGGCTGTGAAGCTGCAAGCTGTCACAGCCTACTGCCCACAGTTGACATGCCGGCGCCATGGAGAGAAGGGGAGAAGGGACGGCGCGGGTGAGCACGTCGCTGGACCCTGGGACAGGTAAATGTGTATTTATTAAAAGTCAGCAGCCACAGTTTTTGTAGCTGCTGACTTTTAATAAACACAAAAATGGCTGGAGCTCCGCTTTATGACTCTGACATTCACATTCATTAGATGCGATTTCAATTCACAAACTGTACCTGAAATCACACCGTGTGACCGGGCACTTAATGTCGTAATTAAACCCACTGAGTGTCCTCACATTGTACAGCTCTGTGTAAGATGCTGGAACCGTACATATTAGGGACATTCGACTAGTATTCATAAAGGAGTGCACACGGTCAGCAACAATTTTTAAAGAATTATATGGGATTTATATAGCACCAACAGTTTACGCAGTTTACAACATAAGAGCAGACAGTACAGCTACAATACATTTAATAGCAGAATTAGAGGGCCCTGCTCGTTAGGGGGGGGTCAACAGATACAAAAGGTCATAACTATGGGGGGGTGAGCTGATGAAGATAGTGGAAATAGGTAGGAGCAGGATAGGTCTCTATGAAGAGAAGGGTTTCAGGGATTGTCTAAAAGTAGACAGTAGGAGATAGTCTGATTGGGGTAGGGATCTCCAGAGGATGAGAGAGGCTTGGGAGAAGTCCTGGAGGTGAACATGGGAGGAGGTGACAAAGGAAGCTAGATAGGAGATGGAATTAAAACTGAACCATGTGCACAAAAACATTCACTTAAAAGGATAAGTTCACCTTTTGGACAAAAATAATAAATGCACATTTTTTTTGCGGGTAAAAAAAATGTGCATTTATTTTGTCCAAAAGAGCCTGGAAAGCATTGCACCAGCGATCAGTAGATCACTGATGCCATACAGGTCTCCTGCAGACCTGTCAGAATATCTGCTTGCCCTATGGGATGGACGTGAAGTACGGCCAAGCAGATATACTGACAGGAAACTTCAATGAACTACCAGGGAGCTCCACAGCACCGTGGCAGTTCATTGAAAACTACAAGCTGACAGCTGCTAAGGCTGCAGGGACTTGTAGGCACTCATTCACGGAACTCTGTGAATGAGAGACGTGGCTGTGTGGGCGGAGCCCCGCACAGCCGTCTGTTTTCAAATCTGACAAATAATACGGGGAGAAGTCTCCCTGTGCTATCTGTCAGAGGGTGGGTGGCTATGGAAACATGTTACATGTTCTACCCTAAAAAACAGGTGGAACATGTAACATGTTCCAAAGGTGAACTTATCCTTTAAATATATTCCTTAACAACCACAAACGATATAAAGGCTTGTTCACACTGACTAAATTTCGAAACTCTTAATAAAAGCTCTTATATCATTAGTATGGGTGTTAGGCAGAGGCGGACTGACCATTTGGAACCTCGGGCACTGCCCGAGTGCCTGGGGTCAGTAGGGGGCCCCATGAGATGCCCCTGGTACCTTTTTCATAGGCTTTTATGAGTTTGGGCAAGGACACAGGGGCCCCATGATCCCCTATTGCCCGGGGGCCCCATGAGTTGTCAGTCCGCCCCTATAGACAGGTGTTAATGAGCTTTAATATGGGCATTAGACTGGTGTTTTACAAGTGTTAAAAACACTCCCCAAACACCCTATGCCGTGGTTTTGATGCCCTTTATAAGCGGTTTACAAACATTAAAACCTCACCACAAATGACTATAATAAACTGTAATGTTATTACCGCGCAACAACCGCACTGCAAACGCCTGCCAGCATATTTGCAGAGCATCACCACAGACTTGAATGGGAGGTGCTGAAAGGCTTCAAACTCCTTAAGACTCGACATGAGGCTTTAAAACATGAAGTGATGTGATGCTAACGCTCCATGCTTTGATCATGTGAACAGCACTGTGTGCTGTCCATGGTATCAATTGCATAGGAGTTGAAGGAGCATTAGAAATGCCCCTCAAACGCCTGGTTTCCATGCTAATCAACTTTATGAGCACCAAAATCCTTTGCAAGCCCAGCTACTGCCTTGTAAACGTAGCAGTGACATCATTACTGTGCTGTACATAGCCTGTGCAGAGAGCAGAGTTGTGAGAGGGACCCAGAAGCTCCACCCACAGCCAGGAAAAAAAACTACAGGAGGTGGGCGGAGACAAGACCAGTCACACTGCAAAAGGAGAGAGAGCAACAGTGGCTGGTCTTAGTACAGAACGCTCCTGCACAGAGGCAAAGTTTCATGCTGAATTATTGCACAGATCTGGAACAAATACATAAAGAACATCCAGAGTCAAGTAAGAATATGGATGCCTTTTGTATTTAGATGATATTTGTTTATCCAGGAGTTCAGCTTTAGGTATGTATAGCCAAAAGCTTAAAATGAAGAGTTGCATGAGAACATAAGGTAATGGGGAATCTTCCAGATGGACAAATTCTGACAGCAAACATGGGATTTCTCTTCACTTTAGGGAGATTCTTTTTTTTTCCCCTCATTTCCTGTTGTGCCTCCATGACAGTCAGGAAAATCTCCCCAGTAGGACACAGGTGGCAAGAAACCCATCCCTAATCCAATCTAAAAGAAGCTTTACACTTTACTTTTTGACTTGGTAATGATGGTCACCAGGACCAACAGAGAGGTTTATCTCCCCAGTAGGGACACAGACTGCACTAAAAATCTTGCAGAGGATCTAACCTTTCCAATCTCTATCCAAACCCCCAAAAAAAATGTCTTTCACATAAGATTTTACATTGATTGACTGCTGATATTAAAGTGGTCCTAACGGCTTTGTTTTTCTTAAAAGAATAAACATGTTCTATTTACCTGATCTGCAAAGATATTGCACAGAGCAATCGCTTACTTCCTTTTCTGGAGTCTGCCAGAGCTCTCTGCTCCTCCTCTTCTCCAAGAGTCCCTCTCAGAAAGCTGTGTGCTGAGGGGGCACTTGTGCGGGCATGCTCCTGAGCCAGGCTGTGTGTGTCCATAGACACACTTCAGTGTGTCTATAGGCACAGAAGCCTGGCTCGGGAGCAAGCCCACATTTCTGCCCCCATAGCAAGCACTTGCTATGGGGGCAGACACTGAAGAGGAGGAAAAGACAGCGCTGGTGGGGGACCCGAGAAGAGGAGGTTTGGGGCTGCTCTGTGCAATACAACTGCACAGAACAGATAAGTATAACAT